AATTTTTGTATTTTTAGTAGAGACGGGGTTTCACCATGTTGACCAGGATGGTCTCGATCTCTTGACCTCATGATCCACCCGCCTCGGCCTCCCAAAGTGCTGGGATTACAAGCGTGAGCCACCGCGCCCGGCCTCATTATTTTTTAATATTTCTATTCTTTCAGCATAATTTTGTCAGATTTATATTTAATTAATTCCTTTATATTTTAAACTACAAAAACATATAAAATAATATAACATATTTACAAGCCATTTACAAAAAAATAATAAGCTTATCATCCTTGTTCCCCCACCCATGTTAAGAAAAAATGTGGCCTTAGTTGCTCTGCCAAAATCACTGTCTTCTTACTCCTTCTCTCTCACCCAACAGAGATAATCCCTATCCAAAATTCTGTCTTCGTAGTTTGTGGGTTTTCACTTGTTTTATAGTTTTGACACGTAGCATCTCTAATTTATGCTGTTTAGTTTCTTCTCATAAATAACATTTTTATAAAGTTTTAAAAATATAAATGGTACAGTATTTGTGTATTCTTCCGCAATTTGGCTTTTCCAATATTGTGTTGTTAAATTTAATCAATGTTGATGCATGTAACTGTAGGTCATCTATTTTTAAAGTTAATGTTATTGAGGTATAATTTACATAGAATAAATGCACCCATTTTAACTATATACTTTAAAGATTTTTTACATATATGCATTTACATATATATATATATACACACACTCACTACTGTAATCAAGGTACAGTCCATTTCATTACCTGCCAAAATTCTCTGTATTCATTTTTACTACTGTATTCTAGTTGTTGAATATAGTATACATGATAGTTGCTGAATAAACATATTACAGCTGTCCTGTGAATGCACATTTGGGTTGGTACCAGTATAGGTTTTATAAGCACTGATGTTCTAAACACTCAAAGACATGGCTCCTCATGATGTATGTGAATAAGAGTGGATTTGTGAGATTGTAGGGCATGCACATCTTCAGCTTTACTAGATAATGTCATATTGTTTCCTAAAATGCTTGTACCAACATGTACGTAAAATTCATAAGAGCTTGTGTTTGCTTCACATTCTTGTCAACACTTGGTACTTTAATTTGGGCCAGTCTGGTGAGTGTAATTGTAACTTAAATATGTATTTCTGTGATTACAAATAATTCTGAATATCTTTTTTTTTTTTTTTTTTTTTGAGACAAAACCTCTCCCCCTGTCCCCCAGGCTGACTGCAATCTCTGCCTCCCAGGTTCAAGCAATTCTCCTAACTCAGCCTCCCGAGTAGCTGGGACTACAGGTGTGCACCACCATGCCTGGCTAATTTTTGTATTTTTAGTAGAGATGGGGTTTTGCCATGTTGCCAGGCTTGTCTCAGACTCCTGACCTCAGGTGATCCACCCTCTCCAGTTTCCCAAAGTGCTGGGATTACAGGCGTGAGCCACTGCCCCCAGCCTGGCTTCAAATATCTTTTTATATATCTGTTGGCCATTCAGATTTTGTTCTTTTTTGAAGTGCCTATTTTGCTAATTTTTCTATTTAGTTGCTTGTTTTTTTCTCATTGTTTTATTGTAATTTTTATATTCTGAATAATAATCCTTTGACAAGCATATGTGCTGCAGATATACACTCCAATTTGGCTTAATGGTTTTACATTTGATGGTGTTTTATGGTAGGCAGAATTTTAATTGTTTTAATACAGCTAGGTTTCTTTTTTATAGTTTGTGTTTTTGCATCATAAAAAACTATTTTCTTCTTCAGGTTTAAAAATGCATTATACCATTTTTTCTTCAAAAATTTTATAGCTTTGCCTTTCACATTTAAGTCTAAAATATTTAGAAGTCAGGGTTCCAATTTCATTTTCTTCCAAATGGACCATCAATTTTTTCTCTTCCTCACTGAGGAGCAAAGTTCTGTTATATACCAAGTTTCCTTATATGAGCTTATTTCTGGATTCCCTCTTCTGTTCTAATGGTTTGTCATCGGCTGTCTTAATATCATGTCTTCAGCACAATAGCTTTGTAATAAGTTTTGTTATCTAATAATGCAAATTTTCTCCTGTTTTTGTTTTTAAATGTCTCTAAGCAAGTATTGAACTTTGCTTTTGTATTAGACACAGTCGTATCATTGTATGAAACCTCTATTGGTGTATTTATTTTATTTAAAAAAAATATTTAATTTAAAAATGTTGAGGGTAGACAGGCTCTTGTTCTGTAGCCCAGGATGGAGAATAGTGACACAATCATACCTCACTGCAGTCTCAAACTCCTGGGTTTGCACTCCTGCCTCAGCCTCCCAAAGTGCTGGGATTACAGGTGTGAGCCACTGTACTTGGCCTCTACTCGTATTTTCAATACAGTTCCTAACTGGCACCTTTAAAATATGTAGCCTTTCAAATAGATCCACTTTCTTTAATCCCTACTCCCATTTCCTCAGTTCACACCATTATCATTAATCTATTCCATTACAAAATTCTTCCTGGTGTCCTGTGGCATTCCAATCTATTTTTACATTGTAGCCAGAAAAGCTAAAATGTAACTCAGGTCACCTTCTACTTACCTATCTTTTATTGACTTCCCAGTGCCTCCAGGATTGTGGCTAAACTCCTCAACTTGGTTCATTTTTATGAACCAGCTTTTGTTCCGGCCGTCTTTTTCCAACCTGCATCATCTTGCATTCCTCTGTGCTCCTGTCACTCTGGGTTCATTTTTGGTTCCTTAGATCAACGGAAAGGTTTTTCACATAGAAAAATGGCAACTTGAAAAATTTGCCCTCCCAAAAATGCAAAAGAGATTTCAGCCACAAATTCATTTGCATTTAAATCCTAATAACAAAGCACCATATTCTTTTAGTATAAACTCTTAAAAGTCATGCAATCCATAACAACTTCAGGCTTTTCCCTTTTCATATTTTTAATAAGCCCAAGATTTGATTATCAAAACAACTATAACTCTTTCAATGATAATAACAAATTGATCGTAAATTCAATTTAACACATCAGAATACCAAGCACACAGTATGTTCTTTAAATCAGTAAATAAATGTCTTATTCTTTACCATAATAATTTCTAATTGTATAATGTTTGGAACTTTCACAATCTTTCTATCTTGGTAAACACAGGCAGACATTCTGGAAGTTATTCAGGAGAGATTCACTCCAGAAAGTACATGGTCATGTCAGAGAAGGGGACACTTTCTAACAAAGATCCTTTCAGAACCTGACTTAAGATTCTTTTGTCTCTGAAATATCTAAGCAGCCCACCAAACCAGAACAGCTAAACTCCAAAAGCCCAAAGTTTGACTGCACCAGTGATATCACTCCAGTAATCTTTACGCTCCTCTCTCTGCCATAAAAGCCCCACTCTGGGTTTCCCCCTTCCTTTGGTTCTTTCTCCAGCTTCTCACCACCAGAGTTGAAGGAGAAGTGGTCTTCCACCCAGGTGGCTGGGGCAATGTAGAGGAATCTGAGTATAAAGTTGCACAGGCCATCAGGCCCCTCAGCTGCAATTTCCTCTTGTATCCTGCGTCCCCTAACCAGGGCTAAAGACTTCAAACACACACACACACACGCACACACACACACACACACGAAGTGTAAATTGGTCACAGACATATGCACACACACAGGAAGCGTAAATTGGTAATTTGCCCTCTAAGCCCAGAATTTAAGCTTCTCATTCTTTCATGGGGAGCATGTGAGAATTCTCCAAGATATTTGTGGGGGCCTTACCCACAAACATAAGGATAGATCACCTAGCTTATTTCACCTCCTTCAGTTGTCAATAGCTTTAAATGTCCACAGGCTTTGTTGGAGAGTTCTCCAGGCTGGAGGACACTTTTCCTGAATGCGACACTACCTGAGAGGTCAGATTTAATTACATTCCTTGGCGTCACCTGATCCACAGGAAACCTGCGTATCTTTGCTACCCCAAATTGTGAGGATACAGACTGAACTACTGCAAATCTAATCACCTCTCTTCCCAACCCCACTGTCCCTTTTATTTTCCTGATCAAGTAGGCAGAAAGCAGATGAACAAGGGTGCTGCCTAAATTAACACCCAATCTGGAAATAAAATACAGGTCTCTCCTTCCTGAAGGCATCATCAATCACTACCAGTAAACTCTTGGCAGAAAGCACGATGTTGAGAGCTAGTTCTACTTCTTAATCATCCTTCAAGTTATGTGTGGGTGCTGAGAATGGGGGCAGTGAGTGGTGGCGTCTTCTGATTCTAGTCATTGCCAGATTTCTTTCGAAAGGGGAGAGATGCCAGATGTAGGTGATGGGGAGGAAGGCAGCAAATCACACTGTCATGTGTGTACCTATGCAACAATCTTGCATGTTCTTCACATGTACCCCAAAACCTAAAATGCAATAAAATAAAAATGGAAAAAAAAAAGAAAGTGAAGTATTTAGCATTTCTTGACCCATCTTTGACTCCTCCCTAGTTGCTGATCTTTGAGTAACAGGAAAAGACCAGCACAACCTCCTGTTACACATAAATACAACTTTTTTAAACCAGCACATATATACATGATAGATGGAAATAAACAGTACTGCATACAGTAGTCCTAAGTATACACAAGTAAATATACCTTTGCAGTATATTCATATACCACATGTGTATAGACATGTGAACTTGCTGCAAAACAAGCAGAAAATAGGAAGAGAAAAATCAAGTTATCTACAGAATAACTAATCATCAAATTCGTGTTAAGAATAAGCAGTAAGATTTCATGATCTCAATAAAAAAAAATAAAGCTGTGCTCTAAAAGAATGTACAGTGAGACAATGAAACAGGGAGGGAAGGAAGGAAAGACATATACTCCTATGTCTTAAAAAAAAGGTAAAGCAATTTAGCCTCCTGGCACTGAATCATTTGCAGAAAAAATAAAAACAGGCAGGTACCTACTTCAAGTATATGACAAGGCTTCATACCAATCTCAGACATCCAATACTTCATTTAATATTTCTTAGAAAGCAAGGGAATTTAGTTCTTTTAAAATGTACTTTTAATTCCCTCTTTATTTCTTCCAGACTACACTGTTTTTATAGAAATAAATATAAAATCACCACACTGCCTTTAAAAATTAAAAGTGGGAAACAAAATACTTTATTCAATCAATAAATGGTAAAACATTTTAAAATCTCTTAGTTCCAAAATATGGTCAGATAGGAAAGAGGGCATATAATTTGTCAGTGGAAGAATCAAACCACTATCTTCTAAATCTATCCACCATTACAAGGTTTTGAAAAGCTATAAGATTTTATTAAAACAAACACACAATAAAACATAATCCAACGAAGATTTCAGGACTAAATATGAACCTTTCCTCTACTTTCAGAGGTTTAGAGGATACTAGAAATGTTCTTTACCAAAAGGTTAAATTCTTAGTAACATTTTGAATCACTAAATATTCTTCCTTTCCTTAACTTTGACTGTTATATTTATTTGAAAAGAAGCACTTACTCTAAGTTGTTACCCTGTCTAGGAAAAGATGTTTTCTTCAAGGATTCTGTCATGTTTTTATGCTAAAGAACCTGTCTTATGTGAATAGTCTGCTTTTGATCATTCTAAACGAATTCACAGACACAAAAACAGATATTTGTGACACGTTTTTGAATTGCCTCCAAACAAAATAGAGGCTGTTAAATCTAATTGAGGTGCCAATAATTCCAGACTTTGTCCTAGAGCAGCTTAAAGGCAATCAACTCTAGTAAAATCTAGAAACTTCCTAACATGAACTTGTCAGTAGGGTCCAATCCCCCCTCCTTATGAAATCAGAATTTATCAATATGAATTCAAGGCCATAATACTATTACAAAATAAGTGTTTACTCCTATTCCACTCATACTTTGTCTAAACATGCACCTACAAAACAAACATCAGTTTCCAACCTAACCACTCTGGATCAGCTTAACAAACTTAATGTCCTACTGACCTGTCCTCTGCATTTGAATTCTAAGCCTACCTCATGAATTCACTTCCCTTCACTGACCTAGTCTATTTCAAAGAAAACATCCCCCATCCTGAAGTTGTCCTACAATCTTAACATGCTAATGAAATACAGTAAGACACAAATTATAAGACCAAATGTTTTAATATTAGAATCAACATATTTAAAATTATATTTTAATCAATATGACAAATATAACAGGAAAAAACTGTATACATTCTTAATTGAAAATGTACATATAGGAAATTTATATAGAAAACTGCTATTTCACTCATAACTTTTCATACTTACAAAATTGTAACTAAACAAAGTTTAAAGTGAAATAGCAAATTCCTCACACTGTATGCCTATATGCATACATTGAACAAACACCTTACATATAAATATTTAAAATTTTCAATGTGATAAGTGAGCCTGCTTCTTACTTGTTAATTTGTCTAATCTAGGTTGGATTGATGACAGTGCTACTCTCAGGGGATAATGTATATTTAAACTGTTTCTATGTTTTGTTTTAATAACACTTAAAGTAGAGAATCCGGTCTCACAGAGGTATGTTGAGGGGAAAAGAAGAAGCAATTTTAAAGCAATCTCAGCAAGCTCAGGATATTCATTTTTAACTTTGATCCAAAATGAAGGAAGTGATGCTGTATTTTCAAAACTGATTTTCAATCCTTCATCAGTAGCCAGCTTCAACAACTTATCCTGTAGAGTTACAGTTAAATTTAAATTACCTTTTGATGAAAGAAATGGATTTTGGATCCACAAATTTCCTATGCGTGGATCTTCTTTTGATGGAAAATAAAATTCAAAACATTCTAACAAATTTGTAAGATGTTCACTGATAACTTTTCGTAGATGTGCAATATCAAGATCATTACCTACTTCATTGATAATCGTTGTTAAATTATGGAACATGTCATAACAATCTGTAGAAATTCTGTTTTTCCAAGCTTCTAACTTTTGTTTTTGTCCTTCAACTTTATCTGCCATTGAAAAATAAGTTGCATTCTTCCCTTGCATAGAAGCATTAAGATCATTAAAAATACTGAAAATATCAGACAAATAAGCAAGTCTGGCTGTCCAATTCACATCTTTAAAAAGTTGGGACCAAACAGGTTTCTTGCCTTGCAGAAACACTAAGAGTTCATTTCGTATTTCAAACATTCTTGACAGAACTTTTCCCCGTGATAACCACCGTATCTCGGCATGCAATAACAGCTGCTTATGATCAGCTTCCATATTATCACATAATAAAGAGAATAATCTCGAATTCAATGCATTAGATTTTATATAATTCACAATTTTTACTATGTCATTAAGCACACTATTTAGTTCAGCTGATATTTTTTTCATAGCAAGACTTTCTCGATGAATGAAGCAATGTGTTGTTTTACATTCTGGTGCAAGTTCCTTAATCTGGGTTACCACTTCAGAATGTTTTCCTGTCATTGAAGCTGCACCATCAGAACATACTCCTACACAAAATTTAAATTCCAAACCACATTTGTTAACAATATAATTCTTTACAGCTTCATATAGTTCTGAGCTAGTTGTGTTTGTAGGCAAAGAGGCTGAAAAGAAGAACTCTTCCTTTATATCATCATCATGTTCAAACCTCACATAGACTAAAAGAATTATCATGTTAGCAATATCTCTGCATTCATCAAGCTGCAATGAAAAATACTTTGCTAGTTTTATTTGTTCGATGAGTTGATCTTCCATATCATTAGCCAGTTCCTGAATACGTCGAGCTATGGTGTCATTGGAAAGTGGTACCTGAGCTACCTTCTTTGCTGCAGATTCACCCAACATTTCCAAGCACACTTCTTTGATGCAGTCTTTCACTAGTGTCTCAGCAATGGTGTATGGTGTTTTAGACTTAGCAACCGGAAGTGCTACTTTATATGAAGCCCGCAAAGCACTAATGTTTATATGAGAAACGTTGAATACCTGCTTCGGTTGACTTTTCAATTCACTACTCTTTCTTTCAAAGAATTCTTTTGGTTGTGAACTTATTTCTTTATGTTTTGAATATAAATGTCGCTTAAGCTTTGATGGTTTCATTGCTTCGTTAGCCAGTACATCTCCACAAATAATACACTGTGGTTTTAGTACTTCACCGTCAATTACAGCTACAAAACCAAACTCAATATATGAAGGATCATATTTCCGAGTGAAACTAGCATGAACTCTTTTGGTTTTCCCTTCTTCAGGATGACTCCTATTGTTACCATTTCTTTGATTACTACCACTGTGTTCAGAAAAGGCATGTCTTTTCTTGACAAAAAAGTCCAGTGAAGCTTGTTTCGCCATCTGAAAATTAGGATTAAAAGTAAATAAATAATACAAATTTTACTTTTCTGCTTTAGCTAACAATGTTAAACCACAAATTTAAAACTAGACTTGATTAAAATAAAAAATTATTTAAAAATTAATTTATAAAAACAAAGAAATGCCTATATTTTCTCAGATTTTTATATATCTTTGGGTTATGGCTGATAAACTAAGCATAAAGTATCACATGTTATAATGGGGACCTATTGTGTGTAACCCCCACCACATGTGACTCACCTTGAGAGTTTAACAGCAGCTAAATTGGTCTATATTCAGTAAGATGAGTTCATTAATCATGTGCTTGGATATTGCAGTAATGTCAATTGTTATAAATGTTTCTAAATACTTAGGCTCAATTTTTGTACTTAATATGGACTGGAGTTTTTATACCAGCACTGGTCTGCCAATCACAGGTTGAGTACCACTAGTCTAAGTCATGTGTAACCTCCATATTTCAAAACATTAACCCTACCTCATAAAGCCTACTGATTTTAAATCTTTTTGGTTCTATTTCATGTTCTCCATTTAAATTCTGAAACTGAAGTACTTCCCAACACAAACCCCTATACTCCAAGCAAATTTATGATTCCCTACCCCCACAAATGCTTCTTCACTTGATTTGAAATGTCCTTTCTTAGCTTGCCCTCCACCCAAACTCACATGATTGAAACAGAAAAACAATAACTTCATCTGTTACCAAATTCATTCTTCTATAGAAACATACCATCATACATGCTATTTACTCCCTCAATCTTAGCTTTCTCATTCCCCCAAGAAATGCCTGACATCAGAAGGGAGTAAAAGAGATACTGTTCATTACCCCCAGAATAATATAAAAGGCAGCATTCACGGTTACAACTTTACAACTTTCAATCTGGAAAAAAAGAGGAGAGGAAGCAGTAAAAGTAATCAGGCCTTCTTTGGGGGAAATATATGCAAGGTAATGAAAATGTGCCTTCGTATACCTTGTCAAACAATGCTTATTCACAGTAAAGTGTAATGGGACTCTTCCCTGCTTTCATCTATGGCAGATATTCAATCTTACCCAATCTACTTTGTCTGGTGAAAATGGTGTCCCTGATGGCTTTAGCATTTTGGAAGGTTGAATAGGCAAACTTCTTTGAATCTCATCATGTTTTCTTTTCATTGTGCTGGTTTCATAGCAAAGGCTACAAATTATTTGCTGACCACAGCCCTCAGTCCCATGTTGAGAGGGCACTCCACAAATTGCATGGATATTTCCATCACATGATATACAACTATTAGCACCTGTGCATTCTTTTTCACAAACTACACAGGATAAAAATCTTAGTCTACTCTCAGGAGGTTTTTTTTCAGCCACCTTAGGGGTGACGGGAAGATTCTCTTCAATATCACTACTGTCTGTTCCAGTCTCAATGTTTTCTTCATACTGGGCTCTTAAAGTATTTTCTAACTCTTTGTCAGCCTGATCTAATTCATTTTCTGTATGCAGGCTGGCAACAAGTTCTTTAGTTAACTGAGAATGGGACAAGCCCAGTTTAGCTTCAGAGCTAAATGCACTTTCACATGGAGTCTGTTGCATGCTTCTGTGATAGGGTTGATTTTGGGTCATCTGAATGAACCACAAAAATTCAGCCCAATGTGATGAGTTGTTAGTTTGCATCCAGGAGAAAATCCTCTTTCGGATAGCCTCATTAGTTTGTTCTGCAGAGCTCTGACTTTGGCAGGTCTGAGACTTCCCATGGACAATTTTCAATTCTGGCCAAATATTACTGAGTTCACTGACAACCTGGCTTGAAAATTCCCTCCCATTGTCAGATTGTAGGACACTGGGTGCACCAATAATTGTAAATATATCTAAAAGAGCATGTGCAACTTCCATTGGTCTTTTAGACTTTAGTGACCGCAAAAAACTCAACTTTGTACGAAGATCTTGATAATGCATAATAAATTTATATTCCCCATCAGGATTCAACTGCATGTCTATAAGATCTACTTGGCATCTTGAACTAACTTCCTTAATTGGTTTTGATGCTAGAACTTTCTTGAGTTTTGAATTTTTCTGTTGGCATGGTTTACAGAGGGTCAGGTATAACATTATAACTTCTTTTGTGATATTCTTGTATTTCGCTTGTAACTCTTTCTCCATGCGAGTACGTCCACCATGTCCAATGCTGAGATGGGTATCATGCAGAATGTCAAATAAGTCCTCACTGTGTAAGTAATACCGTATTTTATCTGTTTCCCCATTTATAGCCTCAATTAGCTTCTCATTTCCTTGTACAAGGATAACATCAAATCTAGCCAAGCGACGGTAGTCAACCGATTCCTTTTTTGCCTTAGCTTTAGCTTCTTTCACTTCCTTTATCAGCTGACAGTATTTTGCTTTAGAAAATATCTTAGTATTATTACTTTTGTTTTCCAGTAACACTGCTAAGCTTCTGAAGAACTTTTCCCTCATGTTTTCTAGTTCAATTTCTGCTTCATTAGTATCTAAGCTACTGAGGTTATCATCACCCATGCTTTGAGACATCATGGAAAGCCACAAAAATGACCCTGAAACAAAGGAAAAAATCAATTAGAATATTTGGGAATATATTTAAAATACATATACTGCCAGAGGAGCCAGTAGTGCTTGAGGCATAAATAGGGGATATGGACACACAGAAGGGGGATAACATTTTTTCTGAGACGGAGTCTCACTCTGTCACCCAGGCTAGGGTGCAGTGGCATAATCTCAACTCACTGTAACCTCTGCCTCCCAGGTTCAAGCAATTCTCCTGTCTCAGCCTCCCGAATAGCTGGGACTAAAGGTGTGCACCACGACACTTGACTAATATTTGTATTTTTAGTAGAGATGGGGTTTCACCATGTTGGCCAGACTGGTCTTGAACTCCTGGCCTCAAGCAATCTGCCCACTTGCCTTGGCCTCCCAAAGTGCTGGGCTTACAGGTGTGAGTCACTGCACCAGGCCAGGGGATACCATTTTGATTAAAAAGTCCAACCTAGGTGGAACAAACAGTGTAAATGAAGGACTCCAGCCAGTAATAAAAAGTTTCACACAATAAAGAGCAGAAAGTCAGGATGTGACTTTCCAGAGCAGTTTTCAGGACTGAAGCATGCTTTATGTAAAACAGGATGCAAATTAACATTTATTTGTTTGTTTACTATGCAAAGACTTTTTTTTTTTGGAGGAACCTCAGCAAGACAATAATAGATGTTTTTTTTAAATCTCCACACTACATGTTTTCTCTTTCATTCAGTCAGGTTAGCTATTACATCAACATTTGAGGAGTAAGTTCCAACCTAATATATTCATATCAGCTCCCTTTCAGGGCTATTAACTACAAACCCAATATAAATATCTTCATTACTAATTTTAATAAGAATAGTGGATAAGTCTACAGTAGTAAAAAAAATTTCTGACTTAATAAAGCTTATTAAAAATTTCTAGAACATTCATAATAACAGAAACACTAAGAATACTTCAAATTTGGCTGTTAAGGAAAGAAACTATTTTGGAAAAAATAAAAAATAAAAATTTGGAATTAGCATAATATCTCTAGATAGTTTTATAGTTGCTTGGAAAAATACTTGTACTCAAGTCGACATCATTTATACTATCAGTTTGAATACCAAATTGTCAGACAGAGCAGGGACTTCTCTTACGGGCCTGTCAGCCACCCCCCAACCACCAAGCATGGTAATAACAGGAAATCCTGAGTTCCTTCAAGGGAATCCAGGCATCTAACTATCTTTAAGAAGTAAATGAGCAACTTAATAAACAAGAAGATAATACCTTAAAACAACAGCCAAAATAGTCATGAGATGTTCCCTGTATCAACTAAAGATAACATCTTAACATATATCCCTAAGCTGTTTTTCAGAAACCCATACCTCCACCAAATGGATCCACTGGTCTGAGGATCTCAGATAAGGGGGAACTGAGGACTGAACTACAACAGCTGTTCTTTGTTCTAAAGTTCTTCCTGGGGGGCCTGGAAGAAGTTACACCCACAAGCCAGAGCTAACCTTCTTTTCCGCTGATCCCAAATTTTTAAACAAAGCTTTGCCTCCTTAACCAATTGCAAATTAGAAAGTCTTTGAATCTACCTATGACCTGTAAAGTCCCTTCTTTGAAATGTCTGTCCTACATTTTTAGGTCAAACAAATGTACAGTGTCCACGAGTTGATTTATGACTTTGCTCGTAACCTCTGCCTCCGTGTGTGTGTGTGTGTGTGTGTGTGTGTGTGTGTTTCTGAGACAGAGTCTTGCTCTGTTGCCAGGCTGGAGTGCAGTGGCACGATCTTGGCTCACTGTAACCTTCGCCTCCCGGGTTCAAGTGATTCTATCTCAGTCTCCTGAGTAGCTGGGACTACAGGCATGTGCCACCATACCAGCTAATTTTTGTATTTTTAATAGAGACGAGGTTTCACCATGTTGGCCAGGATGGTCTCCATCTCTTGACCCAGTGCTCCACCCACCTGGGCCCTCCCTGCTTTTAAAAAACCCTTAGTTGCAAACCATCAGGAACACTGGGTCTTAATTGTGAGGGGCCCAATTCTCTTTGCTTGACACTCTGCAAAAATGCCCTCCTTTCTCCTGCTGATGTGAATGTTTGGCTTTCCTGTGCCAGGCAAGTGAACCCGTTTCGTTTTGCAGCAGTAATGAACTACTAAATTTAAATCATCTAACTTCATTACAAAGTCAGTAAGTACCTATGGGTAAATCAGATAACACCATGACAAATCTGGTGTTCAAGTATTTTTGACATTATTACCTGACTGTTTTACTTCAACTCCCTTAATAATATTACATTATACTGGTTGACTTTTCATTCAACTATTAATACATTCAGTAGAAGTGAAATGAGGTTTGATAACTTTCAGTATTAGATCCTTCCTTCTCTGAAGTCTCACCCTCTTTCTTAGAACTAAATTATTCTAACCATTATCTTGAAGTGGGTATGGCTCTGGAGATTCACATTCCATTCTGTCTTCCATAGACTGAAGCTGGGTGCCTAAAGACGCCTTTGCAGAATCCAGAGCAGTCATTTCTTCCATAGGAACTTCCTGCCCATATATGCCCTGTGAGACCTGGGGACAAATAGGTACATTTGGTAAACAGTATAAATAATTCTAGTTTGTCATAGCTAAACTTGTATTCTTCCCCTAAAATAGAATGTAAGAAGAAAAAAAAATCAGTCTTTACTGAATTCTTAAGTAAAAGATAACATAAGAAATGAAAAATGCTGGTTCTAATAAAACCGTAGCTTGGCAGGGGGTGAGGGAGGAAAAAAAAAAGCCATAGCCATACAACAGAAACTGACGTCTCTATTATCACTATAGGACAGGAGTTAAAACATATCCTTTGGTTTCTGTTTCTGGTAATAACAATGAAAACACATTAAAGAAATGTCTCCTAAACTGTGATGACTGAAAAAAATTATAAACAAGTGTCAATGTGGTTAATTAAAAGTAAATATTGGGCCAGGCACAGTGGCCCACACCTGTAATCCCAGCACTTCGGTAGGCCGAGACCAGTGGACACTTGAAGTCAGGTGTTCGAGACCAGCCAACACGGTGAAACATGGTGAAATCCCGTCTCTACTAAAAATACAAAAATTATCAGGGAATTATGGTGGGTGCCTGTAATCTCAGCTACTAGGAGGCTGTGGCAGGAGAATTGCTTGAACCTGGGAGATGGAGGTTGCAGTGAGCTGAGAACATGCCACTGAACTCAAGCCTGGGCAACAGAGAAAGACTCTGTCTCAAAAAATAATAAAAAATAAAAATAAATATTGGGGTAAGGGAGGAGGGAATGCAAATTATCTAGTAGAGACTAATGAGCTGTTTGCCCAGGAAATAATCTGACAGTTGTTTTAGATCACTTGTGGAAAACATTAGCCCAGTGTGTTCTGGATGGGGAAAAAAAAAGTCAACCAAGTTGCATAACCGTGTTGGGTGGAAAGAAATTGTCGTCTCCTCACACTAATCATCTAGCATATGATTATAGTTAGATTTCTCCAGTTATCCCCAAAACAGATTTTATGGTTTTTGAAAAATCCATGATCCATTCAATGTTTCTATATTGTTTTTAGTTATATCTCCTTTGCATTTCTTAATCTAGTGTCTTGTCTTTTCTGAATCCAACCCCCTTTGCAAGAGCAAGACAGCTTGGTTTGATTTTGCGGAGCTCTTCTGAAGGCTCAAAGGCTTTGGAATCATGAATTAAACCAGGGAAAATTTTATATCACACCGCATGCAAACAGGCTTTTGTGAAATCATTCCAGGACTCTCCAATAATATCAATCATAAGTTTAATGTAAAATTGCTTACCGAATTCAAAAACTGTTCCGGCACTGTCACCCCCATGTATAGGCAATCAACATCTTGAATGTTTGCCTTAAATAATAAGCTTTAAAGATTGCAATCACACCCTGATCAAGGGACTGCAGTAAAGAAGTTGTTTTGGGAGGTAAAAAGAGAACTGTGATATCTGAAGTAAGCTCAGTGACTCCTGGAGGGTGGCTTGGTGTGTCACGAAGAAGTATAAGAATTTTAAAAGACAATTTTTTTCTTTTCCAATTTTTTTTTTGATATACAAAAAAATGTCATCCGGTCTCTCTTGCTAGACCTATAGTAGACACCATGGCTAGTCTTTATAACTCATTGTAAAGCTTATAAATTGGCAAAATGATAAATCACAAGCTTTAGCTTTAAACCTCCACTGGAATTTGCACCCAGCATCACCATCAGTTGATCCTTTGTAGCCTTAAACCCCACAGTGTGTTTCTAGAGTACTTCCAGTCCCACTTACTCCATTCTGGATCCACACACCCAAATTCTCCACAGATGCCCCTGAGGGCATCTGCTTCCAACAGTGACTGGTTTCATAAAAACTGAAAATCTGAGCCAAGGGAAAGCCTTCTTCATCAATCTAATTTCTCAATGCTGGAGGGAATGTCTTTGCAGCTTCTTCATCTGCACTTACACCCTCATCTGCACAGACAGTTTAACACTGTGGAAAGTACAGCAGTTCTTGAAGCCACTAAACCAGCCACAATTTGCACTAAATGAAGGCACTTCTGTGGGATTTTCAGCTTTTATTCTTAACATCTTCATACATTGCAAAGGCATTATCTTTAACTTTGAGAAACATTGCACTGGATTGCTTCCTTGTTTGGTATTCAATCCACACACTTAGCAGATGCTCCATTTCCTCCATTTCCCTGTACTTTGTTCCAATAGATTTGATAACACTGGCAGTTTTCCCAGCTTGGTAATTTTCTTTTATTTTTCCCATCATTGTCTCTAATTGTGTATATGTTTACTCCTTTATGCTGGTTGCACAACCAATCTCAGGTTCTTTTATTTAAAAACACTGTATAGTCTGAAGCTTGTCTTCAACTGTTAGAGCTTTTTCTTTGTTTATACTCACTAGCAGAAACTGTATCACGAGCACACTTCTGTGGCACTTGCAAAACCCTCTGCTTGCTCCTTTTCTGGAACAAAAAAAGTTTAGCAAAAAATGCACGAAGGTGGGAAGGAATCATGTAAATAAGCACTTCTAGGACAGCCAGAGGAAGGATGTGGGGGCAAATGGGCATTATGTACAGTATTGTATGTATTCAGGACTTGCTGTGCTCAGCTAAGTCAGATACTTAGATTCAGCTACTCCCACTTGGTGGCCACAAACATCAACTGGCTGGGAAAACTCATGCATGAGCCTACACAATTTCGGCATTATCCCGATTCATTTCCAGCATACTGACCTCTTAATGAAAGATTTTGCATTCCGGAAACATGTGTTTGTAACAGATCAGACTGTATACATAAAGTGTTCATATTCTGAAAGAGTTCAGGTAAATGTATAAATAGTATCACTAAAAAAAAGTCTGTCAATATCCATAATGTTCTAAAATTACTGTCAAAGAAGGCAAATATACTCCTTTAGAAATAACTCCAGTGTAATGGCAAAACGCTTTTAAAATTCTTCTAAAAATAATTTTGAGCTCAAAACATTTTACATACCAACAACTCTAGATACTGAAAAGAACCAAGGAAATCATGCCATTAGTCTTTTCATTGTACAGATGAAGACACTAATGTCCCAGATAATGTGTAATATGCCCAAGGTTACACAGCTAATTAGAGTCTAGATAGCTACAAAACACAATTAAAAAAAAATCTGTATATTTCTTTAATCTCATAGTCACTAAATACGTTTTCTATTGGTAAAAAAAATAGATCATTGTTTTGTTTGGTTAAATCATTTACTTATTTGAATCATACACAAAGACTGTTATGTCATATGCATGAATCTATTCATCTACACCAGTGATCAAATAAGAAATAATGCCCCAAACCAGGGTTTGCAACCAGCAGTGTGAAATTACTCCCACTTACTCCATTCTGGATCATGCACCCAAATTCTCCCCAGAAGATGGCACCTCCAATTTCTCACCTGCTGTCTAGGTTCATCAAGCTCCCTCTCCAAATCTTCCAGCAAAGTCACCACCTCTTCTCCACTCTCAGGATTATGCTCCCGCACCCAAGACTGGAGCTCCTCGGGCAGAATGGTCAGGAACTGCTCCAGCACCAACAATTCCAGGATCTGCTCCTTGCTATGTATCTCTGGGCTCAGCCACTGACGGCACAGTTCCCGCAGCTGACTCAGAGCCTCCCTGGGCCCAGGTGTCTCCTGATAGCAGAACTGCCTGAAGCGCTGACGAGACAGCTCCCTAGTATAAGACAAATTCCTACGCAGGCCTGATTCTTGATCCCAAGTATGGTCTTCTTCTTTAACCTTTACTCTGATAATCTCCCCTTGTTCTTCTGGAGCCTGGCCAGCCAAGGCTGGGAAGGCCGTGGAGACTGCTTCCATCCCGGGCTTAGGGCAGCTCAGGGAATGGCTCTCTCCACTTGGGGTGTAGGCAAATGGGTGATTTTACTTAAGTTTCTCTTTCGTTCTTAGGAAAGTTTTTAATACAAGAAAACACTCAACACAGAATACCTGCCGACGCAGTTTAAAAGAACTTGTTTACGTGACAACACAAATACTCGGGCAATTCCATTGAAAGTGAAGCCATATTCTGAAAAGACCAGAAAGTAGTGAGCACAGAACGACCCAGTAAAGCCTCAGGGTCACAAATGGAGCGGCAAGACACCTGCGAGACCGAAAACTGCGGTCATCAAGGATACGCGGGCCCTAACTGGAGCCTCGGTGTACGACATATGAGCCCAGGCAAGGAGACGAAGCTCGGAGCAGCCTGGGCGAGGGCGGTGAGGGAGAGGGGCTCACAAGCTGCCCGAGGAGGAGGCCCGGTTGTCACCGCGCACACGCACCCGTGCCTCGGCCGCAGCTCCCGCCTCTGAGGAGCTCAGACCCGCTGGCACCCGGACTAGTGGGTCCAAAGACACAGTGTACGGCTCAGCGGGCGGTTCCGCAGACACACCCGCAGCTGCGCCCGCAGGTTCCGGCCGGGCCCGGTGAGCCACGCTCACTTCCGGTCCGCTCTAGGATTCCAGGTGGTGCGGTCTTCTCGCTGGTCGCGGTCGCACCTACGGAACCAGCGGACTTGGGGAGGCAAGTGCCCCGGAAACCGCGGGGAATTAACTCCGGAGCTACCCAGTTACCTGACATCCCAGTGAGGAGAGTCTCGCAGCGGTGCTGGGTGGAGGCCGCTGGTCTGTGTTCCCGTCACCACCATAAACCACCGCTGGCGCTCAGACCCGCGGGGCGCCCCGCAGCGCCGGGAAACAAAACGGGGAAGAGCATCCCCCAGGAACACCGCGCCACCGACCTGCAGGCCCCTTCCCGCCCGCCCGGGTTAACTTCGGGCCGCTTTCTCCTTTCCCTTTCACCCTAAATCAGACTTAAAAATGTAAGAATTAGTCCACTGCTTCCTTTTTACGTATTGGAAAACCAAGACCCCCGGAGAATGAGCTTGGGTTGTTCAGTGCCGGCCCAGTGCTCCGTGACTGAACAACTGTGGGAAACGGGTCCCAGACAACGAACAAACCCTGGACGGCTGATCAGAGCTCAGCGAGTCACTGCAGTGGGGAAACCAGAACCTCCCTTCCAGCAGTCACTGGATTCATCCCTACGCCTGGGAGCGCAGAGACGCCCGAGGAACGTTTGCGGAGTTGCTGCCTGGCTCCCCTTCTCCATTCTCGGTTTCCTTCTGCTTTGGTCCTCATGTTGATTTCTCACATTTTGGCATTTCTGAGTAGAGAGGCTTTGAATAATCAGAACATTTCTTTCGGAAATCTCTAAATTAAAAAAAAAATTCTTATGGTTAGGCTCTGTGAATGGTCTTGAGTAAATCGCTAAACCTAATGAAATTGTGTAGAAAATTTTTGTCTGTGTGCCTGTGTCATCAAACCTTGAAAGGATCATTTTCCCAGCCACTATTAACGTGCTGCACTTACCTTTTGTGTTTCCCCCACCAACTATCCTTTGCAGTCAGGGATTCTACCTTCTACCTTTTTCTCAGGCAGTGCTGTCTGCCATGCTGAGCACACTAGGCAGTTAACATGGAGTAACCATGACTTCTAGACTTCTAGGTCCTCTACTGACGAGCATTACTCTTTTTTTTTTTTTTTTTTTGTAGATTTGCATTTTTAAAATTATTGCAACAGTGATAGACACATAAAAAAGTCAAATATTTTAAAAGTCAACATGGCAAAAAGTGAAAAGTTTCTTCATCCTCAGTTCCATTCCTCAGAAAAATTCATGCCAACAGTTTGTTGTATGTACCTCCAACCTATTTTTAAATGCACATATAAAATTAAGTACAATATAATTATGTGCAAATATAACTGAGTCACGATTATAACTCATTATAATTTGCAAAACTTAGATCATATTAGACTGCAATTCAACAAGTGACTGGGATTTTTTTGTTTATTTTCAATTTAAACTAAATCCTCCCCCAGAAACTACCAAGCCAACATGAGATGTGTGCCTATCGCATTCTTTTTAGTGCCTATCGCATCTATTTTGACAGATGTTGTTGAAAGATATGTACCCCAGAGGGGTGTTTATCATGAGTCTCTCTAAAGTGTGTCAAGATCCTTTCCTTGCACTGTGCTTTCCAACGCCTTGGGAAGTGGTTGCTCTGTATGAAACATATGTTGTAAAATTTGCAAAACTATGCTATTATAGTGAAAATTAGTTAAGACAGTTGCTTCTCCGTACTCCAGCTTATCCTCAGATACATCATACAGGCCTAAGAGTGCCCATAATTTTATGTTGATAACCACTATTCTTAAAGAGGACTTTTTAAATTATGAAGTTTCAGACCTCACAAAAATCTGGATCTGCCCCGTTGACTACAGGAAGCGATTTATGCTCCTAACAAAAGCGCAGCAAAGAGTGCACAAATCTCCCTGAATTTTATTTTGCCCATTACTCCTCCAGCAACAAAACGTCAGCTTTCTTGTCGGCACAGTCTCACTGAAGCCTGATCTAAACCTTCCGGATTGCAGCAACTAGAAAGTTTATTATCAAGGAGGTATTTAACCACGACTGTAGATACATATTCTGCTCTTATGGTTGGTCCCATGGTGTAATGGTTAGCACTCTGGACTTTGAATCCAGCAATCCGAGTTCGAATCTCGGTGGGACCTTTCAAAGGAGAACGTTTTACAGTTACTGGTTTGGCTTCTGAATGTGGGAAAAACTCGTTCCTTCGCTTCCTGTCGAATTTCCCTTTGAAAACACCTTTGTGGCCGCGTACACAGTATTGGACTCACCTATCCAAACATAAGTACCGAACTCTTTCGCTTAGGAGTGATTGGAGACAAAGAGAAAGTCGCTGCTCCTACGGACACAAGAAAAGCTTCAGCAGCAACGTGGAAACCCAATTCCTGTAATGGAGACAAACGCTTTCTCAAAATTCCCTAGGTTCGAAGCCCTCCTCGCCGCCACAACTGAATCTTGTGCGTGCAGTTGGCCGAGCGTTGGTCTCGGGCGGGTTATTTCGCTGTGGATCTCGCGCGCCCGGGATCACTTCTCGCCCCTTTTCCCATCCCATCCTCCAGCTCGTCGGACAGTTCACCCTCGTCTGCTTTCCCAATTCCCTGGTCCTTCTTAGTCTTCCCCACTCACCCCACCTGCAGCGTCTGGAGATCCCCCAAAGCAGGCAGCCCCGGACGGCTCGGGTCCTGGCATCCACGGCGTCTGCTTTCCAGCCGGAGAGAAAACGCCTCCGACCGCACCCGGGCCTCGCTGCGCCGGGAGCTGGCATTCCCAGTTCAGGACCACGCACGGGGAAGGGCCCTACAACTCGTGTGGGAGATGGGGTAGAACGACCTCTAACCCTAACCCTTCGGCCCCTAGAACCAGGGTGAAAGGGGGGGACTCCTTGAGCGGGTCTTCCCAGACACTGCCAAACACTCCGTCCCAAGCACCGGGGAAACAGTCCCTTGGAGCTGAGGGTCAAAAACAGGAAATGTACCCGTTATCTCGCCAGCCCTGAACTCGGTGTGTAGACCAGGGTCGAATTGGAGATAGAGCTGCTGAAACCAGGAAGGTCCGGGAAGTTCCTGACAGACACTTGTTTGCCTCTTAGCATGAGGTGGGAAATGTGGGCAAGGTGAGGGAAAGGTGTGCCTTAGAGGACAGAAAGGACAGGAACTAAATTAGAAATAAGTATTTGTGTTTTGTACAAATCAATCTCTTGTATGATGTAAGAGGCAACCTTCAAATCGAATGATTTATTTTCAGATTTCTTTTCACATTTTGATTTTTTCATACAGACCAAAAAACCAAGCCGAATCTTACTTTCACCAAGTCCATTAAACCATAAATAATTCATTAGCTCATGTTGTGAATTACCACTGGTTACACAGAGACTCTGTAGGTAAGTTTGTAAAAGTTTATGAAAACATTATTTTGACTCCCACGATGTGTGTTTGATGGCACTTCATGTGGTCTGTAATGATGCTATTTGCAGAAGGAAATAACATTTTCTTCTTGTGGTGTTGCCTTAGCTAGTGTGGCCCCACCTTCTTTCCACTTTGTTGATGTGTGATGAGATCTCACCCAAAGTGTTCTCCCTTTTCCTAATGGCCTCTGCCAGCCTCTTCTACCTGTGTGGGATGCTTATAACCCCAGTCATTCTTCCGACCACCACCATAGCCAGCCTGTGCACAATCATTATGATCGCATCCGTCTTCAAGCATTCACTTATCCTAGCTCAAACCAGTAACTCAGACTTTACCCTAAGCCTCTAAATTAAGGTAATGGACAAGACCTGATTGGAGATGGTGCCTGCACTACATGACCCAGAAGTGAACAGAAGGCCAGGGAGCAGCTGCTGTGAAGAGGCAGAAGAAGCCACTGGGTACTGGGAGAGGCCAGGAGCATATGCAGATCCTCCCCCTGATGCCTTACAGGTTCTGTGGGTCTCCAATTCCTTTAGGAAGCTGAGGAAATCCCTGTATTTACAAAAACTTCACTCTTGAGCAAACTTTAGTTAGGTTTCTCTGAGCCGTCCTCTCAACTAGGTCCCATCCCCAGCTTGTCCAATCCAGTTTCAGCAGAATCCAGTTGAGCCTAGTTTTAGTAAGAATTCTCCTAAGCCAATTCAGTAAGAATTCCTCACCTCAAAATCCTATCAAATTTCTCTTTTTCCTCCCTTGACATCTAATCAAGTTCCTCTAGTATCTTCTATCAAATGGTTGTCTTACCCTGACTACTGGCTATGGATCCCCAGCTGTCCCTACTGTATTTGGATTTGAGTTGACTTAATCTCTCTCCCTTATTGCAATTGACTGGAATAAAGTCTTCCTTGCCTATTTAACTCCATCTGTTACCATTTTTCTTTGACAGTTTTATCAAAGAAGGTATAGGCATATCCTGGGGAAACTTATTTTTCAAAGATGAGATCCCACTAAGGATTCAGAATATGATCAGCTGCAGAGAGATGTGTTCAGAATAGAGGACCAAGCCAATTAATGGTAACTGATTTCCTGAGGAAATAAAAACAGACTTTAAAATCTGTCCATGTCGGACGGGCACTGTGGCTCACGCCTGTAATCCCAGCACTTTGGGAGACTGAGGGGGGTGGATAACGAGGTCAAGAGATCAAGACCGTCCTGGCCACAGCATGGTGAAGCCCCATCTCTACTAAAAATACAGAAATTAGCTGCATGTGGTGGCATGTGCCTGTGATCCCAGCTACTGAGAACGCTGAGGCAGGAGAATCGCTTGAACCTGCAAAGCAGAGGTTACAGTGAGCTGAGATTAGGCCACTGCATTCCAACCTGGTGACAGAGCAAGACTCCATTAAAAAAAAAAAACTATCCATATCAAAAAATGTGATACACCACATTAACAAAAATGCAGGATAAAAACTATGTGATTATCTCCATAGATGCAGAAAAAGTATTTGACAAAATTCAACATTGTCATCATAAAAACTCTTAAAAGATTAGGTTTAGAGGAAATGTACCTCAACACAATAAAGGTCATATATGATAAGCCTACAGT